AGCACAAGATAAATGGAGCTATTCAGTCTTTTTCTTTTCCTTAGTTGCTTGTCAGCTTCTCAGAGTGGAAGGAATGATGGTGGCAAAATTAAACAATAGAAACACAATATAGAAAGTCCTTCCAGGTGAAGTTCAAGTTGCAATAACTTTATCATCAGGGGCTTTTTCCCATATTCTGTTCTGAGGGAACTCTAAATCGAAGTCAAATAGCTAACTGTAAATCTAGACAGCACGATGAACCTTGGATGCTTGTGCCACAGACTGAAATAAATCTAAGGTATTTTTTGTTTGTTTTTACTCTCCTGAAGTGACGGGAATATGCAAAATTGAGAAATTTTTTCATTTGTAGGAAGAGTTTCTACCCTTAATAACTTTTTTGTCTAACATTATATTGTGTGTTCATTAAAAAAAGTATTATACTAAGAGGTCCCCCATTTGTTTTAGAAATGCTGGATACCTAGGGAAAAGAAGTCTTTGGAAAGAGTAAACTCTGATCAGAGTTGAGTCTAGTTATCTGCAACTGAAGAAATGTTAGTGACTTTAGTTATTGCCAGTTTTAAGAAAAACAGACACTGGACATAGATGTACATTAAATACTTCTCAGATTTAACTTGAGACAATCAGGTCACAAAATCAGTTAATGTAATCATAAATATGAAGTTAAATAAGAAAAAATTAAATTTCTTATATTATAGGTTAATTTTTCATTTTATCTATAATTGCCCTGTATCTAAAACTTTTTCCTATCTCTCCCCAAAAAATCATTAAAAAATGAAACTTTGGGGAAACTTTTTTCAGACTAGTAACTTCATATAAATATCATAAACACTGAAACTGTTAGTGGAAAGTTACATGCTTGCTTCTCTTTCTTCCTTTGTTTCGCCTAGGTTTATTTATGAGATAGGCTGAGGCTATGATATCTTTTTGATAAGATTTAAATATAGGACTTCTTGCTTCATTGAAAATAATTTTACCATGTCTTATACCAGGAATCAACCTAAAAAATACTTTCTTAACTATCATAAAGTGAGTTTCTGTTTTGTATTTATGTGTTAGACACCAAGTGGCACCAGCCCTATATAAGCATCCCCTCATTTTTGCAGCATAAAAGGGTACCAGAAAAATTTTTGCTGGTAAATAAAGTTAAAGTGTTTTTAGATAAATTGAGTGCTTTCTCAGCAATTACACTGAGTACATACTATGTCTTAGGGACTCTTCTAAGTGATGAGAATGTAGAATAAACATAAAAGAAAAAAATCAGGGCTGCACAAAGCTTAGTTTTAAAAATTTGAATTCTAGGATATAAGTGAGTCTTATAGATTAAATTTGATGTTGCTATGTAATAGAAATAACTTTGTATTTCTGGCACTATCTGATGCATATATTGCTAGTATAGATGGGTTATAATTTATTGAGTCATTCAATTATTGAACTTATATGTACGTTAGCAGCATGCAGCAGTCTGTGAGAATATAAGAATGAACAAGATTGAAACATATGCCCATACTTATTTATTTACTTAATATTTGTTCATTTTTCTCATGTTGATTTTGTATCAGTAAATTTCCAAAATGGATATGACATAATGCATTCAAAGCCCTTTTTCCTTAATAGTTTAGTATCTTTGCTATTGTAAACAGTGCTGCAATGAACATTTGTGTGCATGTGTCCTTATAATATCTATGCAACAATCTTGCATGTTCTTCACATGTACCCCAAAACCTAAAATGCAATAAAAAAAAAGAAAAGTTAAAAGAAAAAAAAATAGTTTAGTGTCTAGTTTACCACATAATTCCATTGTTTTATAACATCTAATGAGTCTATGGAAAAGTTTGAAAATAATTTAATTATTGCTGATTTTAGGTAATTTTTTTACTCTGCACATTTTAGTATGTTAGAAAAGGTAATATTCTATGAGTATCTCACAATTCTGCACGCACTGAATGTTCTCTTTTTCAGACTCTTTTCAAAAACCTATACAGAGAGAACAGTCTTGGAAGACAGATATAGGTTATGGAGCAAAAAGCTAGCATGTATACTGCTCATCATAAGAAATGCAAGTTTTCATTGATCATGGGTTTTCCTTATAACGCAACGCACAATGTTGGCCAACTAAATATTTGCACTGTGTAAACACCCTGGGCCAACTAAAGATTTGCACTGCGTAAACAATTAAAATCTGAAGAGTTGAGAGAAAGGTGGAGAATGCCCTAAGGGTCATAAGGGGGACATAACTTAGAATAAAGGTTCAGTAAGTTTTTATCAAATAAATTAAATTTAAGCAGAAACCTGCTGAATCAGTTACAGATATCCTGATGAGTGAAGAAGAATGTCCAAAGGCATTGGGGTGAGGTGTGGTTGGTAGAGAAGAGTAAAGAAAAAATTATTGAAGGTATAAACTTTCCAATGCTAACCAAACAATGTGTGTTTGAGGTGATGGATTTACTAAATACTCTGATTTGACCTTTATACATTCTATGCATGTATGAAAATGTTACATGTGCCTCATACATATGTACAAATAGTATGCATCAATTTAAAATTTAAATTTTAACAGTATAAATCAATGTAAAACTATTTTTGGTTGTGTAACTAGATTGTTCTCACTTTAACACTTAATCCTATCCTAATGGATATGAACTGCAAGACATCTATGATATCTAAAGAAAGCTGATGTAATGAAAGCCCCAAGATAAAAATATCTAGTAATTTGTCACGGTGAAAATATTTAAAATAGAATAACTTTTAAAAGTTTTTTTTAACAAATTAGAAGGTATGCTAGATACTTAGCAGGCTGTTTCTTCTTCTTCTTCTTCTTCTTCTTCTTCTTCTTCTTCTTCTTCTTCTTCTTCTTCTTCTTCTTCTTCTCCTTCTCCTTCTCCTTTTCCGTCTCCGTCTCCTTCTCCTTCTCCTTCTCCTCCTCCTTCTCCTTCTCCTCCTCCTCCTCCTCCTCCTCCTCCTTCCTCTTCCTTCCCCTTCCCCTTCCCCTTCCCCTTCCCCTTCCCCTTCCCCTTCCCCTTCCCCTTCCCCTTCCCCTTCCCCTTCCTCTTCCTCTTCCTCTTCTTCTTCTTCTTCCTTCTTCCTTCTTCTTCCTTCTTCCTTCTTCCTTCTTCCTTCTTCCTTCTTCCTTCTTCCTTCTTCCTTCTTCCTTCTTCCTTCTTCCTTCTTCCTTCTTCCTTCTTCCTTCTCCTTCTCCTTCTCCTTCTCCTTCTCCTTCTCCTTTCTTCTTCTTCTTCCTCTTCTTCTTCTTCTTTTGAGACAGGGTCTTGCTTGCTCTGTCACCCACCCAGGCTGGAATGAAGTGGCATTATCTGGTCAGCAGGCTATTTAAATCTGTAAAATCACACACACACACACACACACACACACACACACACGAACACACACACACACGAACACACACACACACACGAACACACACACACACAACAGAAAACAAGAAAAATTTTCTGACAAATGTAAGTTTAAACTTCTGTAGTTTAAACTTTTAAAATCCTTTATTTCGAAGCAAAAAAAAACCTCACAAAAATATAATGTACAGTGTTTAATACCAATGGAGTGATCTGGAAGAAAATGTAAACTTTTCTCTCATAAAGACATAATACTATGGAGGGAAGTCCAAGTTATCCATCTGCCCATCTGTATCACATGAATTTAAAAACAATGGAATATTTTTTAAATTAAGGAACAAATTACTAAACACGTAATAGAAAATAACTTTCCCTGAACTGGAGATTCCCTATTATATTCAATATGACCACTAAATGCTAAGAAGCATGAACAAAAATTAAGCCATACCTTCTGACTGAGCTTAAAAATACCAAGTACAATGCAAAAAATTCTAAACATTTCCAAAGAAATAAAAAGGTCCCTACTGGATACAAACAGGCAACAAATATGATTTCTTATCATGTCAAGTTCAACTGGATTAATGTTACATATGAATCAAATAAGGCCTAGAGTCTCAACAAATTCTATTGTCAAATTTGACAAGCACTGGGCTTTTCATGTTGAAAACCTCTTCAATGTTTATTGGTTATTTCAGACAACTCAGTATTACCACCAATAAATACCACATTGGATTATATTGGTGACTCCAGAAAAAGAAAAACTCCATTCATGGATGGATTTAGTAAAATAAATCCTATGGATTCAAAAAAGAGTTTCTGGGTTTCTAAATACTCCATATTACTTAGCATACACACTGTGTTTAAACAAATTTTACTTTATTCAAATAATTGTTAATTCAGCAAGCAAAGATATATAGGTTATTATTGCAAAAAAGGAAGTATAACTTTTTATCTTTGTTTGCAAATAGTTATCATTATGCCAAATAAGGAAAGCCCTCAGAGAGTAGATTGTATCTTAGTGCAAAATGGATTATTGTTTAGTTCTAAGATAGTGCACATATTGCTAATTGCTAATGCAGGGTTTTTAAAATTTATTTAGAATAACACCATGTGTTATCTTAGACAACAAGTTATAATTGTTCTGAATTAGTGTAACATTACCCAAACAACTAGAAAAACAGAGAGCTCTTTTATGCATTAACAGAGTTCTAAGAATGTATTTCAACTAAGTATGTATCCCTAAAGGAGAATTGGCAAGAAGCAGAAGATTTATATTTTAATTCTTGCTGTGTTGCTAAACATATCTTATACCTCAGCTAGCCTCCATTTGCCTTTTTTTTTTTTGCTATAATAAAGAGGAATAATGGCAAAATTCTGTATTTGACAAAATTTCTAGAAAGTTCATGGAACCGATTTCATTATGTTCTTCATGTTAAAAGAAACAAGGATATTTTTCAAGTTACTTTAAAAGCAAGGGTTAGAGGAATAATTATCCTGAGGATTCCCAATGACAGTAGCTGAAGTCATCCTGAATTGAGGTAGATGTAAATAGACAATTTTTCCATTCTGTCTTCTTCTTTACATGGTCTTTCTCCAATGGCATTTCTGTTTCTCTTTGAATGTGCATTTCCTCTTTCCCTTCCAATAAGTTTCACCATTTATTTCTCACAACTCTACCTTATACATTTTCTTTATATCCTTACTTTTTCTTGACTTGTTTTCATGACTTTTAATTTCAATTTCTACCTATTGCTTCAAGTTTACCAATTTCTATTTACAAGTAACTTGGTGTATTATAAAGGGTCTGCCTTCATATAAGACATCCTCACTCCAGCAAAATGGGATCATGTGGCACAAAACATCATCAGGTACATCTACGAAATAAAACAAAGGATATTAGAGGCTAGGAAGGTTAGGAGGCAGTGGGGGTGGGATGGGGCACACAGGGAAGAATTTGTTGAAGGATACAATATTACAAATATATAGGATTAGTAAGTTCTGGTGTTCTATAACACTGTAGAATGACTATGGCTAATAAAAATATATAGTTCCAAATAGCAAGAAGGAGGATATTGAATTTTCCTAACACACAAAAGATAAATGAGATGGTGGATATGTTAATAACACTGTTCTAATTACAATACATTATATGTATCACAACATCACTATGTACAATGATTATGTCAATTAAAAATGAAAACTAAAAATAAAAGTAAGAAAAGCACCAAATAGAAAAACAACAACAAACCCAGAACCAACAACAAACATGTTCATGTAGGCAGCATAGCACAAGGTAAGAGCAACCTGATGGGCAGATACTTATTGAAAACCAATAAAGTATTGTACCATAGAAGAGATTGTCATATTGATTAGGACTAACCTTCTTATGAGAAAAACAGGAAGGCATTTTGAAGTTTTTGAACAATTTCAACATGCTTTCTGAATGCCACAAACAGTTTTATGCTTATTTAGTTATGCTCATTTATTTGACACACGTCTTCTTTGCCTCAGCTCTCACTGCCTAGCACATTGCATGGCACATAATTTATGCTGAATAAATATTTGAATAAATACTTTTTAAATAACAAGCATAGTTCCTTGTGTTATTTTTAAAGAATGACACTTTGAAACTACATTTGTTTCCATATCTAGTCAGTAAAAATAATGGTAAAAACCTGAGGAAAAAACCAAGAAAATATTTTATGTAATTATTAATTTTTTCTTCTGTAATTCTCCAATCTGCAGAACCTAGGAAATATGCCAATTAACCTAGACACTATTTTGTAGTGTTTTTACTTATTTTACATAAATATATTTTTGGTATCACAAACCTAAACAGAGGAAGAAGGAGGAGGAGGAAGAAGAAGAGAAGACATACTTCTCCTTTGAAGCAACTCATCCTCACAGAGGACAAATCACATAAAGATTCCCTGCAATCATTAGGGGCTTTCTGGACCTCAGTTTTCCTGAGTTTTTTGTCTCCTGTATGACCTATTGCCCAATTCAAAGAGACGTTTCTATTAATGCTACCTTTCTTCTCTAAGATATGTGGATGTACATTTACAACCTATGCTTCTTCCTGTGAGTTTATTTTCTTAAGTAGCAGTCTATTTCTGAAAAAACATTTTTTTGTTCGTAGAGGAATTTTTCACGAGATAGATACTCGTAGCTGCTTAATAAAAATACCAAAAAAAGGCTGGGCTAAGTGGCTCATGCATGTAATCCCAGCACTTTGGGAGGCCAAGGCGGGCGGATCACGAGATCAAGAGATAGAGACCATCATGGCCAACATGGTGAAACCTCATTTCTGCTAAAAATACAAAATTAGCCAGGCTTGGTGGCACGTGCCTGTAATCCCAGCTACTTGGGTGGCTGAGGCAGGAGAATTGCTTGAACCCAGGAGATGGAGGTTGCAGTGAGCCGAGATCGTGCCACTGCACTCCAACATGGGTGACAGAACGAGACTCCATATCAAAAAAAAAAAAAAAAAAAAAAAAAAGAGAGAACTAAATACACGAAGGTCTATTAGGCATCTCTGGCTAAAAATCACTTGTGTCATATGGGACTTTATTCACACGCCAACATCATCAATATTTCCAAAGCCTTTTTACGAGTTGGTTCTGACAATTCCAGCTAGAATATCAATGTCATAATAAGTCAAAAAAAATCGTAACACAAGCCATTGCTCTTAAGATCATCACACATGATTTACTTTCTTAGAGACAGAATGATTTTTGACACTTATCTGAGATTTGTAACATTAAAAATTGTGCAAAATTTAATAAAATCTAGGCTAAAGCCATTAATGAGTTTGAAGACCTATTTATTTACTATTTAAGTATTCCAAAATTTGCTACTTTTAAAAAACAGAAAAAAAAAAAAGGAAATTGAACTCCAGGTCTATGTAAAATTGACTCAATATATTATCTGAGGAAAACACAAATTAAGAGGATACTTTAAATTTGGTTAAAATAATTCATAAACTGTGTTATTACCTAACAAGATTTGCTAGATATTTGTTATAACACCAAAGCAGAAATTTACATTTGGAAATCAAGAGCCACCACTTGCTGAGCAATGCTCATGTGCTGCAATTGTAGTAAGAACTTTATATTATACCTTGTTTTGAAAACTAGGTGTGTTGATCATCTGGTTGAAAAGTATAGAATTCACTCGATCTGCAATAGCAGGAACAGATTCATTAAAGAGTATCAGAAGGCTCCCAGAATTGTTGGCAAGGCGGAGCCTGCAGGAAAACACTCAAGCTTGGTGAGAACTAACTAGTAACTAAACTTCTGCTGAGGACCTCAGAACCAAGTTGCCTCCGCCACTGTCTCTGATGTATATTCCATCAATAGCTCATTTTCAGATCAATGTCTTGTATGAATGCATGTGTTTAGCAGAACTTAGATTACTCCAATTGCAAGGAAAGCTGAATGTTATTTGTATTTCTTTAATGTTACATTATTATTTTGTATTTTACCTTACGATTGTAAGATTAATAAAATAAAAAACCTCTGAAATTGTATGATTGTAGTAAAGGAATTTTGATTAGTCAGGAATCATAGGTGCCCAATGGAGCAGGTATTGCAACTTCCATTCCTTATATAAAGGAAACAGATTCACAGGTTAAGTAATTTGGTCAAATCCAAATTGCTCCTAGCTTTCTGGTGAAATAATCATTTTGTTTGGCTAACATTTTTTTTACTTATAATGTCACTGCCCATTTAAGAATCCCAATAAAAATAAATTAATGAAATCTGAAGTCAGTTTGGTATTCATTTACCTTAAAACAAAATATTTTTCTGCATTAAGGAATTGATTGGTATTTTCAAAATCCAAACAAATGGACAGATAACACTCAATGTAAGGAAGAAAAAGAACATAAAGTAATGTAAAGATTAAGAGCAGAGATTTAATAATAGCATTGCCTGGATTGTGGTCCTCTTTTGCCTTTTGTTATTTTAAGTATAATTTTTTTTTGTGGCATTGTGTTTTTATTTGATACACTAACTTTCCCAAATTACCTAAGCATTTTGATCTTTAGTTTTCTCACCTGTCAAATGTGAAACAAATAGTATACAAATGAAATATATTTTAATTTTAAAATTTAAAAACTCATTTGTGAAATCACTTATAGTAGTTCTGGGTGTGTAGTGAGTTTTAAGTAAATGCTGTTATGGGTAGGGTGCCAAATGCAGCAGAAATGAGGTAGAATTTGAGTTGGAATAAATTGTCTTAAGTGTAGATAATAAGCATGCCTTTTCTGAAGACAATTTGAAAGCCTTAATAAAACCAACTAGAAAATCAATCTGCTTTTGAACATATTATTTCCTCTGTCCGACAACTTTATTCCTGGCTCTTTGTATGTTTCCTATTTCTCCAAGATTCATTTCAAGTTATTCTCCCTGTTAAGCCTACTTTGACTTTAATAGGAACATACAATTATTTCTTTCCTTTGCCACCATATGGGCATATATCTTATAGACACATCATTTATAGTATTTAGTTATTGCATTTAAGTTATCCCATTACTTATCTTTATATCCATGAAATAATAATCTTGATACAATCTCTACCATTGTATCATTGCTCCTAGCATAATGCTAAGCACATGTATGGTAAGTGCTTAACAAATATTTGTTGAAAGAGTGAATGAACTCATATAAACCCAGTCAACAAATTAATCATGTCAAATTATAATGTGAGCTTAATTTCTTATGCCAAATATGTAACAACATGTAATAATGGAAGAAACAGTCAAAGGTCTGATTTTGACATCCTGGTCACATGATCCTGTGCAAGTTATTATGGGTTTTTCTGGACAGTTTGTTTCCTCACCTACAACTAAACGAAATGAAGAATTCTTACCTCAGAGAGATATGAGAAGCAAAATAAAATGTATTCTATAACTTGGTAACTGTTAAAGGGCTGTGAGTTAGTTGTTATATTAAAATTGATTTAAATTATAAGAGAATATATCTTTATGGGTTATTGATAACTCTAAATGGTCAATGTGTTTATATTATGCATCTCGGCAATACATTAAGTAAAATTAGCTAAAAGTTATCTGAAATAAAAAAATCATTATTTGGTTGGGAAATGTTCATTAAAAATTTGATTCTAAGTGAAACTTACCAAAATGGCAAATACATTTTTTTATCTCATGTGAGAATTAAAGTCTGTTGAAGTGTTACTTGTTACATATACTAAAAAATGGAATTAATCAGATCCATAGCAACCCCATTGTCACTGCTCACAACAAAATATTACCTATTTTGACAAACTTACCATGGATCATAGTTTTAATTAACTATTTTTTTTTTTTTTTGAGTCAGAGTCTCACTCTGTCACCTAGGCTGGAGTGCAGTGGCATGATCTTAACTCACTGTAACCTCTGCCTCCCAGGTTCAAGCAATTCTCCTGCTTCAGCCTCAGTAAGAGCTAGGATTACAGATGTGCCACCACACCTGACTAATTTTTGTATTTTTTAGTAGAGATGGTGTTTCACGATGTTGGCCAGGCTGGTCTTGAACTCCTGAACTCAAGTGATCTTTCCACCTCAGCCTCCCAAAATGCTGGGCATGAGCAACTGCACCTGGTCAGCATTTTGTTTTTAAGAAAAGATGCAACAAGTAATTTATGATGTAAATAATTATTTTTGACATATACTGGAGATGCTATATGAAAGAGAAAACAGAAAAAAATAAGATGATAGAAAATATTCTTCTTTAAGTGTTGCTATATACAACTCACTAACACTTTTCTCTTACCATCCAGTGTGGTTGTGTGTGTGTGTGTGTTAACGTTCAATGATAGACATTATTACCATTCATTTCCAATGAACAATTAATTTTTAGTGGAGTTTTTCTTTACTAGAGGCAGATTATTTTTATTAAATGGAGCATGAAAAATTAAAAGAGCTGCTTGAGTCTATTTAGATCTTCTAATTTCTATTTTGTTTCTAATATTTAATATGTATTAGTTATCATCTTTAAATATCCTATGAAGATTTTAAAAAATAATTCGAAATGCATTTTGTATTTCATACCGGTCCTCATCATTTTTCACATACGTGGTTGTAATTTAAACTCTTTTTACAATTATATAGAAATCTTTTTTGAAAAATGAAATAAGAGAAAATTACAGGTTTATAAAAAGTTTTCTTAGTTTTCCCTTTCTGGATTCTTACAGAACACAATGTTCTTTATGATTGAGCCTAGGTGTTTTATTAGTGATTTCAAATCTATTTACTCCTATATATAGTTTGTTCAGTTGTTGCATTCTGAGGAATCTAAGGAAAACTCTCATTTTTAAAAATCTAAATAAAATAGACACAGCTGACATCTTCCTTTGAAAACTTATCTAATGTTTAGTAGCAGTTTATTCAGAAGAAGTGGATAGAAAAATGGAGACATAGGCTGTTCCATATTTCTATTGCAAATCTCTCAGAGAAAATAGAACTGTCTCAGTATCTGTGTTTCTCTAATAAAGTGTTCATTCTTTAACTTAATGAAATGGAGGGAACATTAATTAAATGAATGTGGCCTATTTGATACTTACTGAGAAGATAATTTAAATAAAAATATCTTCCTATGGGTAACAGAAATTTCAGCATAATCATGTTGGTTCCTTTTATGAAAAATTTAATTCAAATACAGAAGGTAAATTCACTGCATACATACTTTGAGTATCACAGCTTGGCTGGTTACTACATCTTAAAAATAGAGACTACTAGAGAACATCCACAGACTGATAACTTAAATACCAAAGACATGGAATCATTCTGGTGCATTAGAAACTAAGTTCTATCAGAAAGTAAACAATTATATATCTAGGATAAAGTTTATGAGATCAACCATGGTAGAAAGATCTGTACTTACTTAGCCACCAACAGGCATTACTTGGTATTACAAACTAACACTTTAAATAGGTTGCTTAGCAGGATGATTGATGTGTATTTTTAAATGTGTAGCTGAATATATCAAATGCCACATAAATACATTGTAGCAAAAAAAGTATTTTTTTTTCTAAATTTATGTACTCATTGTTACTACAGAGAAGATGGAATATTTAGCATTTCCTCAAAAGCATTCAGGTTAGCTCAGGAGTGGAATTTTTGCAGTTCTCTCTCTCCCAAATGTTCATGATGTCAGTATCTGAAAGAATACAGGAATGTTGAATCATTATCTCAGCTAGATAAATATATAGCTGCCCTTATTGTGGCAAAGTTGATTATTTTGGAACTCTTTTATATAGAAGGGATTGAAAGTGACAAAGATGATAAGGAATTCAACAGCCTTACCTTCATACTGAGAGAGCAGAAAGGAAGAAACCAGCTAGGCAGATAGGGCAAAGAGTCCTCAGCAGAATTCCCTTTCTAGCAAAGAGCAGCTTCAACGATCTGGCTGCAAACAGATAAGGAAGCAAGTTCCAGCACAGAAGGAGAGCCTGCTGGGTAATCAGAAAGCTTCAGATACACATGGTGGGCCCCAGTAAGCACATTGGGAGCCCCAGTGAGCACATTCCTTTCCTTTTTTGGACATACTCAGATAAGGAAGCTTACATGCGTGGGAGGGGAGCCAGGTGCTTGTAGCTACACCGATAAGAAGAACTACTTTGGGCCAGGCACATCCACCATGCAGGGTTCGGCCACCGCCAAGCACATGTGCAGTAGAGAAAAGATAAGCAACACGGAATAACTTAGGCTAAGGACCTGCCTGCCCAATAAAAGGTTGGGGTGGGGGCTTCCAGAGATTTGTGCCCTATGCAGATGACACACCTAGTCCTAACCAGCTTTTTGTGCCTTATGTGGATGAGATACCTCCTCCCCACTAGCTCATTTATAAAAACCCTTACATTTCACTGAGAAATGGCAACTTTTTTAAGGGCCCCCCTACAGCAGAAAGCTGTTCTCTTTCTATTGCCTTTTAAACATCTGCTCTAACCTCAGTATTTCTGGGTCCTTAATTCCCTTGACTGTGAGACAAAGAGTTTCTGGCATCACCCCAGACAACGAGGTCATTTCAATATCTTCAATCATGCTGGTACACTTATCAATGTACTTCAAGATCTTATGGCCATACCTATATCAGTTCATATAACTCATTCAACTTGAAAGACTGTGATGTTTCATGGAGATGGACTTATGTCTATTTTGAAAATTTGATAAAAGAGTGTGAGGACATTCACTGTGTCATACAGACTTGGCTTCTTCATTACAGTAAGAGAAGAGTTTTCTCTATAATCCAAAATTTAAATGTAGAGTAATTTTATTCATTTAAGTATATTCTCTTTTTCTTTTCTTCTATCATCAGTGCTTTATATTAAGTAAGTCGTTGCTTAACTTTATTCTGGTGGGTAATGTCTCCTCCCTTAACTTCTTTTAAGAGTTTTCACAAACATATGAATTAATAAACTATCAAAGAGCGATAAACATATGTGAGGTTCTGAATAAGAACAGGCTTTTTTTCTGAATATCTCACATAATTTCTAATATTAGTATTTTCTTACTGAAACAGAAATTTCAGCCAATTACAGGAATTCAGTGTTTGAAGGCAAGTATACAGAGCTTTCTGCATCCTGGAATTAACATTGAGAAATTAAAAAATAATAATAAAATAAAATAAATTAGTTTTCCACATTTTTTTAAGGTCACTTACCTGGAATTAGCCAAATTATGAAGTTTGAAGGCACAGTCCTCCATACTTCAATTCTATCCAACACTTTAACACAAACTTTTAGTTTGCTAGAAAAACTCACAAAACCCACTGAATGCTGTTATACACTGAGTACAGCTTATAACAGAAAAGTAATACGTTGAAACCAGCCAAAGGAAAAGACAGGGTTTCAAATAAAAAGTATCCGTTGTCCTCAGGATGTATAACCCTCCAAGTGTAGCCAATGATACCTTTTGGATATTTGTCCTCTCCAAATCTCATGCTGAAATTTAATCTCCAATATTGGAGGTGGGGCTGGTGAAAGGTGTTTGGGTCATGGAGGCAGATCAATCATGAATGGCTTGGTGCTGTTTTCTCCATTAGTGAGTTTTTGTTCTATTAGTTCCATAAAGATTTGATTGTTAAAAAGAGCCTTGTATGTTTCTCCTCTCTCTTACTTCCCTGTGTCATGTGATGTCTATTTCCCTTAGACTTCTGCCATGAGAGGAAACTCCTCCAAGCCCTCAACAGGAGCAGATGCTCGTGCTATGCTTCTTATACAGCCTGCAGAATGATAAGCAAAATATACTTCTTTTCTTTATAAATTATACAACTTCAGATATTTATTTATAGCAATACAAACTAGACTAGGACTATTGGCAAACTATGAAATTCATCCAAGCTTCAGTGTATAGAATTTTTACTGGGCTTCTTTATGTAGTCAGGATTGGTTGATTAATTGCTGCTGTTGTTGAACTCAGTGTTTAGCACTCCTCTTTCTAGAGGTCATTATGCCCCGTGTCTCAAATGGTCTACAATGAGTCACCTCATTAGCATCAATTATTAAATGTGGTCCAAGGGGCTCACTATGAATAACAAAGACACTTAGGACAAATTATTTATGACACCAATCATAAAAATATAAATAATTTTTCCTAAATCTATTGTAAATAAAAAATAAAATCCAGGCTCCCCAATCAACTGAACTCATTTTTTTTTCTTTTTTCTGGAGATGGAGTCTTGCTCTGTCACCCAGGCTGGAGTGGGATGGCATGATTTTGGCTCACTGCAACCTCTGCCTCTGGGGTTCAAATGATTCTCTTGCCTCCCCAATAGCTGGAATTACAGGCACCCACCATCATGCCTGGCTAAGTTTGGTATTTTTGTAGAAATATAGTTTCACCATGTTGGTCAGGCTGTTCTTGAAATTATGACCTCAGGTGATCCATCCACCTCGGCCTCCCAATGTGCTAGGATTACAGGAGTAAGTCTCAACTGTGTCCAGCCTCAACTGAACTCTTTGGCTAAGGAAATCTCAGAGAAACCTGAAAAGTCATAAAGGTAAGGCAGGTCAGACAAACTAAATTTTTGGAGTTTAGAAACAACTGACCCCAGCATTAATGTGAAATAGTGATCATGAGACTGACAGAATGGACTCTGTTGCAAGAAAATATCAAATTATAAACAAGACCAAAGGCCATGCAAGAAAAGGGTTAAATCACAGCTTAGAACCCATAAAATCTTATTAAACTTGTTTTTGTTGTTAAGGTGGTATAATGTGGCTTATTTTCAACCTGACTCTGGTACAGCATGACACAACATCACACTCCTTATTTTAACCTAAGCGTTCCTTTTTACTGACTTGAAGTCTTTGGGCAATACTTAACTTTTCTAACCAATTACAAATTGAAGAATGTCATAAGTCACCTATAACCTGTAAGCCTTCATTTCTAGAGGATCCACCTTTTCAAGCCAAACTAACATATATCTTCCATGTATTGATGTGATTTTACATGCAATTCCTGTCTCCCTGAAATGTGTAAAAACAAACTGTAACATCATCACCTAAGCACACTTTGTTAGAACCTCTTGAGACCGTGTTCCTCAGGCCATGGTCACTCATATTGGCTCAGAATAAATTTGAGAATAAAATAAACATTAAAAAATATAGAGTTTGGGGTTTTTTTCATTAAAATTGTTTTCATGTTGTTATTTAGTGCATATTTAGAAAACAATTTTCTTTCTTTCTTTTCCTTTCTCCTTCTTTTTTCATTTCTTTCTTCCTTTCTTTCACAGAGAGTTTCTAATTTAAACCAGAAGCCAACATATTTTTTTGTGTTGGCAACGGTTTCTCAGTGATTAGGAGAATTTCTGAGTAGTAGAATTAGGACCATATCTCTCTTTCATAAACTGGATGGTAGACTATCAGATGTCCACAAATGTCATTTCCCCAATGTCTGCTTGAGAAGCTGATTCAGTACATAAAAACACGTTTAAGCTCTCTGTGAGTATGGTTTGCGTGTTTCAGAAGACCTGATTTGGAAGACACTATATGAAAATTGACTGTAAATTTTTGGTTCTTCACAGTACTAAACAGAAAGACAGTAATGCAATAGGGTGGACCTGTTTGTTCCTCCCCTACACACTTACCAATATTAATTGAACAGACTTGATGAATAAGTAAATTAAGACATCCTACTCCACTAGAAATATAATTGCTACCTTTCTAATATTTTCTTTTCTCCTTTTTTTAAATGTACCCTCCTCTACGTTCCACTTCATTAGCCCTTTATTAAAATGCAAATGCTTTTGGTAAAGATCAATGCTTAGATAAATTTACATCTGAGATGTTTAACCAGGTAAGAATATGGAAGAAAAAAATTGGGCAAAGTTAGGCAACTCATAACTAGAACAAGACATAGACAAAGGAATAAATATAAGAAGATAAACCCATAGAAATATTTTAGAGTAGTCAAAGAGGAAGATTTTGGAAAGTGAATCAAAGAGAGAGACTCTTTTTACGTCCACTCAGATGGTTTTGTCAAATGAATTTATGTAGATTGGCTTTGCTTCTCTTATTTTAGGTTGCTGGCTCCGTTAAAGTAAAAACTTTAGACACATTACATTTAATGGTGTTTAATTTAGCAAATAAAATGATTTGTGAATTGGGCAGTCCTTCGAATCAGAGCCCATTCAGAGACTCCTGCAATGCTGCCTGGCTGGGGAGAATTTATTGACAAAAAAAAAAAAAAAAAAAAAAAAAAGGTACAGAATCTGTTATATTTGTTACAGCCCAGTGTCAGTCTTATTTGAACAGGGTTTGAACAACTGGCTGCCTCTGATTGCCTGAAATCTATGATTGGTAAAAGAGTAGCTTGCAGTTTGTCCATCCAGTTAGGTTACATTTCACTATGCTCAAAGAAACCTTTAGGCCAAACTTAAAATACGAAAGGAGGCGGCTTTAGGCTAACCTTAATTTAACAGCTCTTAGTTTGTGATAAGCTGTCAGCATTAAGAAAACTTAGTTCAACTCAACAAAAAGAACAAACATAAGATTAAAGAAGCCTAGCCCACCTAAATCTATTAGCTAGGGTTATGAATGAGATACATTCACATAAGAAAAAAACAGTTATTGATTCAATTTAAAATATAGGGGATTCTTGAATTGATATATCAATCTCAAATTTTGAAGAGTAAAGAATAGCAATGTATTCACATAATGGACTTACTGAAATATCTCAGGATAATGGCTTGTCAAGAATTTAATGCTAAAATGTGAATGTTTTGCTGTTGCTTCTTCCCTCAAATTTAAGTCAAAACATCTAGACTCAAGTTCTGGCCCTGTTATTTATGATCTCTCACTTATTAGAAGTAACTGCTTATATCAGCTGACCTGCAGTTTCCTCATTTATAAAAGCAAAATAATCAATTATTACATATGTGGTAAGATGATAAA